CTAAGGATCTTTCTATCTTGTTTTCTTTATAATGAAACAGATCTTTGATCCATTGATTCTTTGTGTTGTTTTCTTTCTTTTTCATTGATTTGTGCTCTGATTTTTTTTTTAATTTTTACAAAAAATTTATTGAGAATTTCATACATGCTTATAAGGTGTTTTGATCAAATCCATGCCCACTCCCTCCTGTCTAACTCCTCCCATATCTCCACCATCACATTTTTCTGATAACTTCATATACTCTTTCTTCGATTTATTTATTTTTATGGGGCTTTTGGCTACTCTAACATTCCCCCTTTCAAGAGGTAACCCTAAAATATTTTAATGATTAGATAAAAGCTCCCAAGTACTTTCAACATTTTTGGCCTTTGGAATGGAGTGTGTTGCTAAGAGGCCCAAGGACATTTTGACTTTTAGCCAAGAAACTGGCTACTTTTCTTTGGGGTCTTTTCAGTCTAACTGCCTAGCCAATTCCTACCTTCTATTCTTATCCCACCATCCTCTGAAAAGGTTACCCAAATTGCTAATAGGGAATAGGGACGCAGACTGCAGACTGCTCTGGCTTCTTCCACGCTGAACAGGGACTCAGGATGAGGCAATTGGAGGACCCCTTCAGTGGGTCTATCTAAAAGACTCCCAAATTGCATAACTCTTATCTCATAACTCTTATCTCTAAGGGGAAAAGGTCCTTCAATCATGAATAGGAGTTGTGAAGGAGAAGTAAAGGCAAGAGTAATTAGCATTACAAGTTCTAGACAGGGAACTAGAACAAAGTCAGACCAGGGCGGTTTTCAAAGATGCTTCTTAACTTAGCACAGCCAGGTGTTCTTGGTTAATCGGCCACGGTCAAGGCTATGGTTCTTTGGCGGTGTTCTTCCACTGTGAATCAGAGCAATGTGTAACAGAAACAATCTGAAGAAACCCTGGACTTTGCTCACGAATTTCTAGGAAATATCTATTATACTCAGTAAGAAGGTAAGAAGTTTGAATCATTAAAAAAAATCAATTCTTAGGACTGGAGGGATGGCTCAGGCAGTTAAGAGCACTGGCTGCTCTTGCAGAGGACCCACATTTGGTTCCCAGAAGCCACATGGCAGCTAATAACCATCTGTCACTCCAGCTCCAAGAGATCCGATGCCCTCTTCTGACCTCCTCAGGCATTGCACCACACAGGTGCACTTATGTACAGGCAATATACTCAGACACATAAAATTAATTTTTTAAAAAGTTCCAAGTCTTGCCTTTCTCAATGTACTGGTATCATGGCAGTAAACAGAAAGGGAAACAAACAGTATATGATGACTGATCTTGGTTGTGAACATGACTGGATCTGGAATTAACTAAAATGTGAGAGACTTTCTTGACCAGATTATTTGAAGCTGGAAGACACACTGTAAATGTGGGCCCCACCTTCTGTTGGCAGCACAGAGAAAAGGACATTTTTGCCTTCTCGCTGCTGGTGAGCTTACCTTGTTGCTGTGGCATTCCTTTGCCAATATTAGAATCAACTTCTTTGGGTTCCAAATAGACTGTAGACCAGCAGATCTCCAGGAATCCTCCAGGCCTTCAGCACCAGATTGAAACTGCTGAGGCATCCAGCCTTCTGGACTGAGCAGCAACCAGATTCACAGTCTCCAGTGTGGAGCAGCCACTGTTGGACTACTAAGTTTCTACCCTGTAAGCCAATCTAAGAGATCTCTCTCTCTCTCTCTCTCTCTCTCTCTCTCTCTCTCTCTCTCAGGCCTCTTTGGGTTCTTCCGTTGGATTCCCAACTTTTCACTATATGCCCCACCCTTGCATGATGCAACTAAGGGCTCCGCCCTAGAAAGGAAGTGATCCCTGTGTGGTGGTCAGATACTTCCGGTGCTTTTACTTCCTGAAATTTTTCTGCTGCAAAATATTAAAGGATGTCAAAAATCTCACTAAATGATAGAATTAAACACGACAGTATTTTTACAAGTCAACTAGGCAAACAAGAGACCAAAGGCTGATGTGTAATCTTATAGTTTTATAGGCATTTCCAACAGCATTTTCTCTACTAGGATCCAAATTTCACAGTGCCCTGTGTCAGGTGGTACGTTGGGGTCCCATCCCCAGAAGCCACCTTCCCTACTCCTCTTCAAAAAGCGGAGAGAGCTGGCCTCCCTCAAGCTTAGGGGCTCGGAGACTTCCGAGCTGCGTGGGGAGTTTGCGATGGCCTCGCCTCCGGGTCCCCCAGGGACCACCGACCCCCCTTCACCGACCACCCACAGGACTAAAGGGGATCTGCAGCTTTAAATCCCGAAGGGTAGGAGGGGATGCTCCAGTTGCCCGGGAGACAAACGCTCAACATCCGGGCGCCCCAAGAGGCCGCTCTCTGGGCCGCAGACGTGCACCCTCGTGCACTCTCCAGAGCCGGAGATGGGCGGCAGGAAGGAGCCGGAGGAGGTCCGGGTGGGAGAAGAGGACGTGGAGGAAGGGGAAGAGGAGACGGAAGAGGCCGAGAGCGAGGCTGAGGAGGACGAGGCGGGGGCGCAGCAGGGAAAGCTGGACCTGCTCCCCGAGATACTAGATCAGGAACTCTGGAAAGCCGTGGAGATCCGTGATGATGGCAGCGCCGTCTTAACCAGCCCGGGGAGCCCCGGCCTGAGCTCCACCCGGGCGCCCAGCGAGCAGTCCAGCCTCACGTGGAGCGTCGAGGAGTCGCCCGGCCAGAGCACGCCTTCCAGCCGGCCGTCCCCGAGAAGTACCGCAGGCCTCCCCGCCCCCGGGCTCCTAAGAGATGGGACTGGGGCTCACTCATGGAGCACTGGTACCTTAAGGGTGCTGAGCTCCAAAAACGGTTCTGCACAAACATGCAACTCTCTGCCGTGCGTTGACCTTCCTGCGCTGGCGCCACACGCAGTCACCATCTTTTAAAAGGAACCAGAGCAGTTAGATTGGGATTCTCAAACCTAATCATATTCTGTTTGGATATTTCTTTATTGTTGGGGAAAGGGCGGTGTCCTCTGCATTATTTTGTTTAGCAGCATTCCTGGCCTTCTCAATCCCTGATTATGATTATGTCTGTGTAATAGTGAAGGGGCACACACACACACACACACACACACACACACACACACACACACCTGTGACAACCAAGATGTATTCAGACAATTGTCCCCTGGGGATAGAGGGGTGGGGTTGCCCTTTTAAGAACCAGTGTCTTGGAGTGGCTAAATTGTTTACTGTTTCATTCAACAGATTATCCTAAAATATTTCAGACATTTCGGAAAGACGTGTCTGAAGTGACTGTAGATAGGTAAGAAAATGTTTTCAATTTTCATTTCGTTATTTTGAAGTTGATAATGTTTATCTTTGGGTTAAACTTGTTACAAGATAGGGTAAAATAATCCAGGGCATTTACAATTTATTTATCCAAAAAAGGATTTTTTTTCTTTTTTTCTTTTTTGTCAGCATGCTGGTACATGCTGTAATCCCAACATTCCAGAGGCTGAGGCAAGAGGATCCCAAATTCTAGCCTAGCCTGGCCTTCATAGTACAAAATAAAGCAAAACTTTCTGTTTTGCACTTGGCAAGGGAAAAGACAAAGTTCCTTCCTATCTGCATCTTTTTACCTAACTGCAAGTATGACATGCCCACTTCAATATAACTCAAAGTAAGTATGTGCTATGCTTGCAATAGTAAGTTCCAGGGCTCGGTGGGTAAGAGCATGTACTGTTCTTGCAGAGGACCTGAATTTGGTTCTCAGCACCCACTTTGGGTGACTTTCAGCTGCCTATAACTGCACCTCCCTGGAGATCTGATGCCTCTGGCTTCCATGGGCATCTGCACTCACTCACATAATCCAACACAGACACACATACATATACATGATTAAAAATAAATCTTGCCAGAGATGGTGGCACATGCTTTCAATCCCAGCACTCAAGAGACAGAGGCAGGCAGATCTCTGTGAGATCAAAGCCAACCTGGTTTACATGGTGAATTCCAGGCTAGCTGGGGCTACAGAGAGACCCTGTCATTAATAATAATAATAATAATAATAATAATATAATAAATAAAATGAAAAATCTTTAAAAATACAGTAGTGTTAGGAAACCAAGAACATAGGTCTGTGATGACTAAACGCAGGAATGACCAGAAACATTCCATGGAGAGAAGTAGAAATTAAGACTTTTTCATTTCTTGTCCTTTTCCTCCTTTTTAATGCCATTAGCCTTAAAGCGCTTTAACTGTAATGACATCACAGAGAAGCTTCTTTGGAACAACAGACTTCCCTAAAATATCATACTAAGCCTGAGTCTGCACCTAAACTGTTCATCCAAACTTTTGCTTTTATAAGCAACTTTTAAAACTTATGAAGAATCATTGTCTCAGTTAATGCTTTTACCCACTTAATTTCTTTTTAATAAAACATAATATATGCATGGTTTAAAAAGAAAAGTGTGGCCGGGTGTGGTGGCACACGCCTTTAATCCCAGCACTTGGGAGGCAGAGGGAGGTGGATCTCTGTGAGTTCAAGGCCAGCCTTGTCTACATAGCGAGTTCCACGACAGCTGGGGCTACAAGGAGATCCTGACTCAAAAAGACCAGAAAAAAAAAAAAAGTGAAGTGTGCACACCTTTAATCCCAGCACTCAGGAGACAGAAGCAAGTAGATATCTGTAAGTTCAAGGCCAGCCTGTTCTACATAGTAAGTTCCAAGTCATCTGGGGCTACAGGAGACCCTGTCTCAAAAAGACAAAAAAAAAAAAAAAAAAAAAGCCATGTATCTGGTGGAACTGGAGACATGGATCAGCAGTTAGGAACACTGGCTGCTTTTGCAGAGGACTCAGGTTTGGTTCCCAGCACCCATATGGTGGCTAACAACTGAGTATAACTCCAGTTCCAGGAGATCCAATGCCCTCTTCTGGCCTATGTGGGCATTGCATGCATGTGGTACACTTACATACATGCAGGCAAAATCTACATATAAAATAAAAATAAAAAAATAAAATACAATTGAAAATTTCCACATCTGACATAGAACATAACAGTTTTGGTTTTCCTTCCTTTATAATTGTGTGTGAGTGCATGTTTGTGCAGGTACATGTGCACATACATGTATGTTCATGTACAGGCCAGAGATCAACTACAGGCGTTATCCTTAGGAACTTTTCACTTTTTTTTTTTAAGAGGGTCTCTCATTGTCCTGGACGTCAGGAAGTAGGCTAGCCTGGCTGACAATGGCGCCCCAGGGATCCACCAGTCTATACTTCCCCAGTGCTGGGGTTACAAGTGCACACCACACCACCGTGTCCAGATTTTATACATGGGTTCTGGGGACCAAACTCAGGTTCTTATGTTTGCAAGGCAAGCTCTTATCAACTGAGCCATCTCTCCATTCCCTTCATTATAATTTTTAAAGTATTTTCTTATCTATTTTATATGTATTGCCTGCATGTGTGTAAGTGCACCATGTTGTGCAATGCCCACAGAGGTCAGAAGAAGGCGTCATATCCCCTGGAACTGGAATTACAGTTGTTAGCCACTATGTGGATGCTGGGAATTGAACCCAGGTCCTCTGCAAGAGCAGTCAGTGCTCTTAACCACTGAGCCATCTCCTCAGCCCTTCATTATAATTTTAAATAACATTTTCTGTACTTGATTTATCCATTTCTAGCTTAACCATGTACTTCTCCAGTTTGTTTTGGTGGTTATATTATTTTTAATTTCCTAGCACTTAGGACTTTACAGCATTTAAACCTCTACTTGATTCAGCTCTACTATTGCCTTGTGAAAAAATTAATAGAGTGCAGTACTACTTTCTTCTGTGTCTCTTCTTACCTATTTTCTTCTAACAACATACATACATATATAATTGCAAATGATATTAAACTACATACTTGTGGAAGTTATATTACTTTGCAGTTTTATCATATGTGTAGTGTTTTACTGGTAGCAATTAACCACTAGTGGTTTAGGTACAGTTTGGTTAAAAAAATTGGAAAGCAATAGACACTCCTCAATTTCATGTTAAGAAACCAATAATGTGATTGGATCCACAGACAAGAAAATGAAATCTGATGTCAATAAAACTCGTGTACTAGAAAATGAGATTTTTCAGTTCAGTTGTCTTTGTTCTCTGGCTGTGCTCAGTGGGCACATTTCTTCAATTCTCATTTTATCTTCTTGGTTTGCTGAGGAAATTCCTTAGGTGATTTTTTTTTTCATGTAGTTCTCATGAGTAATCAAATTTCTGAGTTCTGGCCTGCCTGAAAATTCTTTATTTTGCCTTCAAACCTTGTACATACAACCTAAGAGAATGAGGGGTTTTTTTTTTTCATTTATTATTTTTTTACGTGTATGAGTATATTGCCTGCATGTGTGTAAATGCACCCGTGACATGCAATTCCCGAGGAGGTCAGAAGAAGGTATGAGATCCCCTGAAACTGGAGTTACAAATGGTTGTTAGCCACCATGTGGGTGCTGGGAATCGAACCCAGGTCCTCTGCAAGAGCAGTCAGTGCTCTTAACTGCTGAGCCATCTCCTCAGCCCCTATCAAGAATTTGATGTTGGCATGCTAATATACAGCCTGTGCACAGAATTTATTTTGTGGTACATATTTGTAATTCTAAAAGCCAGCTACTGTCACTGTTCCAAATAATTTGTCATTGTTCTTTAATCTCTTTGAGAGCATTCAAATGTAATATATTAATATGCTATATGAAAGTGCTTTTTATTCTTTGTCTCAAAGTCGCTTGTTCTGTTTCTCTCACACTTTCTCTCCTGTGCTGTAGGTTACTTTTATGTAACTGCCAGTCTGTAGTTACTGTTTGTATTTATAAAGGAATGACTGGTGGGCAGCTAAAATGGAACACTCCTCCGTGGAGTACTTCACTTTCCTGAGGTGGGAGGGTTACCTGGAACCCTGCACAGGTGGGTGGAGCATATCAGCCAGATTCCTCTAGAGTGTCTGATCAGGAAGCCATCAAGCTGGTGACCCCACCATTATTAAAGTTAAGACCCTTTGCTGCCTGGTTAACGTTCTTTATGGATAGAACAGCCCTTCCTCCTTTCTCTCTCAAGCCTGCTGAGCCAGTCCGGAGTAACCATGTACTCTGCTCTGTTTCCATTCACCTGAAAAACATTCCCAGGTATACACTCTTTAGGCTCCTTTGGATCTAAAACTCCTGCCAATTGCCTCCTATAATGGGAGAGTAAGAGGCCTAACCTGGCCAGCTGTTCCAAGGTCATTCTTTGACCTGCTATCATAATAGCTGTCTTTCCCTCTTGTCTGGGTGTAGTTGCAGTTCCCAGAAATTCCCTATTAGAAAAAAACCTCTTGCTTTGGGCTGGAATAGTCTCTTCTTCAGCCTTCCACTGACCTACAGCCATGTATTTTCTTTTTTTAAAGAGGTAATTATTATTTATCTACCAAAGAGTGCATGTTTTTGAGGACCAACAGTTTCTTTAAAGAGTCTATTATTTCAGTAAGATCTTCAAAAGGAAAAAAAAAAGAATTGTGTCTTGATTTGGTTTTCAGCTATATGATTTCAAGTCTGTGGGACACTCTCTCATCTAGATCAGATTCTTGTGTTGTTGCCTCAAATCTTTCTAAGATGCTTTAAAAAACAATAAGCATATACAAACATTAAAGTATTTGTTGCTACATTTTGTAAGATTATGAGTGGTTTTGTGTGTGTGTGTGTGTGTGTGTGTGTGTCTTTTTGAAGCAGGGTCTCCCTGTAGCCCCAGCTGTCCTGGAACTATGTAGACCAGGCTGGCCTTGAACTCACAGAGATCTGCCTCCCTCTGCCTCCCAAGTGCTGGGACTACAGGTATGTGCCACCACACCCGGCTCATGAGTGTTTTTTTCAAAAGTGCAACCAATATCAAATTAATTGCCTCGTTGCTTTCTGTTCTGGGTGACGTGGGGCAAACTATGAGGCAGATGAAAGTGGAGAAACAGGTTTTGGGGCCAGACAGATGCCTCTCTAGTGACTTTTGTAGAAGTTCCTTAATCTCCTTGGCCTTTGTGAGAAGGAAATGCTAAGACTGTCTTTGATTAGCTTTTGGAAAGATAACCAAGATAATGCAAGTAAGGCAACTTTTCCTCCCTCCCTACAAGTTTTCCACGGTGTTGATTTTATCACCAGCGTCCACTTACCTTAAATCTCTTTTTCTCGTTTTAAAAAGTACTTATTTTTTTGTATTTTACATGTATGAGTTTATTGCCTGCATGTACGTGCACCTGTGTTGTGCAGTGCCTGCTGAGGTCAGAAGACAGCGTCGGATCCCCTGCAACTAGAGTTATGGACAGTTATCAGTGGCCTTGTGGGTGCTGTAATTCAAACTTGTGTCCTCTGCAAAAGCAGCCAGTGCTCTTAACCACTGAGCCATGTCTCCAGCCCCATTATCTTAAATTTAAAATTCCATAACCAACCTTTGGTGGGGGGTTAAGGAAGGCACGAAGAGGCAAGAAGACTTAACTGAAAAATGTATTGATTGGGGGGGGGGCGTTAAATGTCTGGGGGTTTCCCTCTAGCGTTACTCTGCTGGTAGTCCCTGCAGCTTGTCTCTCGGGATGGTGAGATAAACAGGATTCCCTCAGAGATTTGCACAGGTGGCCCCCGCAGAGGCGCTCTTTGCCTATTCCAGGATACAGTTACTGCGGAACTGAAAAACAAAAACACTTCACTAACGCAACGTGCCAGGAAACAAAACGTCAAAAACCACTGGTTTTCAATTGACTAAACTGCTTGAAAAAAAATATTACTTGATCATTTTAGAAAATATAGTAAATTATTTTATTTAAATTAAACTATAAAGAAACAACAGAGGTTGAAAAGCAATGCTGTTTACTTGTTACTGCTAAAAGAGTCCATAAATTCCTGCTTTGCTATGATGTCCAATATTAACACATTACTCAAAGAAGAGAGATTGCCTAATTACAATGCATTTAACTCAACATTGCCTCTTTTTACATTTCTATCCTTTCTTGTGTGCGTGTACACAGGTGCACATGCAATTCAAGTAAATGTTTAAATGTGTACATCACTAGTACAAACAGTAAGAGTTCCACATGTGTACAGATACAGGGTGAGTGAATCCCTAGAGGGAAAAAGGGTATTAGAAGACTCCGAGATTCAAAAGTGGTGGGTTTGCCCTCGTAGCGCAAGGAAGGAAAGGGCAGGCACTCTCCTATGGCTTCTGTGAGTCTGTAATCCTTACTGTCCAGAGAAGGTTTGCCAAACACCTTAAACAGTCAGGAGCTACTGGTGGCACAGCCTGTAAGATGGACACATGTTGACTAAAAGACCAATGCTTTTCACCTCCTCTGCCCTCTAGGGGTCGGAGATAACCTGACCCAAAGCACATACTCTGGGCTGCTCATCAAATCCACGAAGGGGACCCTGCCCTCTGAAACCTGTCAGAGAGGGTGCCCACTTAGCCTCATGAGCCTGAACTCTCTTTAGAACCTCATGCTGCCTGTCCATGGTATTAACTCTCATAAGAAATCTCTTGCCTAAAAGGACAATCCCTCATGAACCCCAAAGAATAGATCTGATGCCCACATTATGGTTAACTTTACTGAAGATACAGAGTCAGAAAACAGTATTTCAATGTAAACAGTCAGGACCTTCTTTGTTCATTGTGATTTATTATAATTATATATATATATATCA